TTTGTCACATTTATTCAGTGAATGTCAACATTTTCCTTACCTGAAAATGTAATTCAGATAGATACACATCTTTCCACATAGCTGATAGCCACTGCCTAAATGATTTTTGTGTATGCACTAAGCTTTGAAAATAATTCCCATCCCTACAAATGTAACATGTACTGCACTATTCTGTGACACAATCAGCACTGGACTATAGACCTCCACCAACATGAGAACAAAACATCCTCCATACACAGTAGACCCCACGAGCACTACATGTATTAATCCTGTGTATATATGGTGGGGTATTAAAGTGCACACATCATTACCTTTTTAAAGAGTTACATTAAAAATTTAATTAAACAAATTTATAATCAATGTATGTCAATAAATGTACCATAAAAACATATATATCTAATTCAAAGTTTCAATTTCTCAATTCAAAAAGGAAAAACTTAAATAAGTTCTATATCTTGACTTTTGTGTGTTATGTGATGCATCTCCCCTGATTTTGATATTTTCAATTTTCTCCAATCACTTCTAAGGCTGTCAAAGAGGCCAATCAATCAGAAACCGAAATTATCAATATTTAAAGGTAAAAATATAAAATATAAACCTCCCACTTTATCAAATTAGTAAGGTATAAATGAATGTTTGACACCCACTATTGAGGCTCCTCCCATCTTATCATAGTTTGAAATGTGTGTATCTATAACACATGCCCCTCTTTTATAGCCATTTTTATAATCAATAAATACATAATTTTGTTTCCTACAGGTATCTTCCAAAGATTATTTCTTTTTAGTGCATATTTACAAGCCATTCATCTCAAATTGTTTATGTGTGATCATTATTCTTGAACTCCAAATGGCTAACAAAAGTTTTATAACTTATTTCTAGTTTAGTTAGTAAGCTTATAGTAGTTTTAGGGCATTCTATGTTGTCTATGTGATAATGTTTTGTTTTCTAGCTTTCACATTCGAAATAAAAATTTAAAAATTTTGGACCACCACCATCATTACAAAAACATAGGCCTACAGTGCAAGTGTTTTTGTTGGCCTACAGTGCAAGTGTTTTTGTTGGCCCACAGTAAAAAGCTTGAATTCCCAAAGCACCATATTGTACGAAATATAAGACATAGTTTTTTTCCTTAAAAAAGCCTCTAAAAATCATCCTGCATCTAGCATGGGAAGTTAAAGAAAATGCATCATAAGCTAAATTCTACACAGTCTTTCCCCAGATAACTGTAGATTAAAATAGAAAAATATGTGATTAGGCTTATAAATAATGAAAAAAATTTGCTAAATATATGAGTGGATATATAATAGATAATAATTATCCAATTATCTCATGAACACTACTGTCTACTACAGTTCTTATTTGCAACGTGCAACAGTACTCAAATGCAAAAGACACCCTGGCCTTTTTCCTTACTTCCACATCAGGCCAGTACAGTTTACTTGCTGGATACAAGGATATCCACAATGAACACCAACGGAAGTATGGTTGTCTTTGAAAAATTATCTATTACTTATGTCTCCTTACCCTGGAAAGACTAATGGTGAATTCTGCTCTTTACCTCACTGTTTTACTGAAAAGTTTTTTCTTATTATGCAAATTTGATTCAATATGTTGCATGTATGATATTTTTATTGAAATAAGTTATTTTGATATGCAGATTTCATGTTTGATGTTATTTTGAGTTATATTAAATGCTTTGATACACTCAATGTTTTTTCCTTAAATATTCTTTGCTAAAATATGAGGGCACCTCATATGCCATACATTTATGGTAAGTACTAAATTTCTTGTTCTGTTTTTTATTTATTGTTATGAAAGTAACTAAAATGAAAACATTAAAAACTGATCATGTTAGATAAGAAAAACAAAAAAAAAATTAAATTTCTATTAACAGTCAAAATTGTAACACACTATGAGCACAAGGAGTATTAGTAATTCATTTGTGTTGTACTTGCTACTTGATCATTTGTTTACATAAAGTTGTCCAGCTGTGATAAATGGCTTTCGGCATACTCTGAGGATATAAGAGCATAAAATGAAAAACAAAACCAGATTTGAAATGTCTATTAATTTTGGCTGTAAAAATAAATAGTATGTAATTGTCTTCTACATTATAGTTATTCTTAAAAGAAAAAGGGTAATTTAGATTTATTTCATATTTTTCAACTCTTCATTTTACCCTACGTTGCTGATTTCATTTCAATTAGTATGATGATAGTAAAAATAATATAAAAAAATAAACTTTTACTGAAAAATATACTTTTGATATTTATTTAGGAGGTTTTAGAGGTTATGCAAATAAAATATAAAAACTGTAATATGAAAAAATTTTTTATTCTTAACATAAAAATCACCTTGTACTTAGCCAGAGTTGGGTTAGACTGACTCAATAAATTCATACAAAAATCTTTAGTGAAAATATTTTATAAAAAATTCTGTTTTTTTTTCTGGGGGGGGGGGGACATACTTTTAATATTTACTAAACAAAACTAACAAATTTCATGAAAATACACTTAGTAAATCTGGAATTCTAATAAACATTATTATGTATAGCTTCATGGAAACTGGGTTGGAGCAAAGCACAAATGACATTCACATAAGGATAACAAAGGCTCATTCTTGACAAAGGAAAATAAATGCTTAGAAAGTGGGGAGGAAGAGTGGAAGGTTTAGTAGAGGGTTGAATATCTATCTGAAATATATTTTCACATAAAGAAAATGTTAACTTCAGAAACACTACTCACCTTTTCATAGAACTGATAGCTAGAATCCCACAATGAAAAGATGGTGCCAGGACAATTGTAGATAAAGAAAATTTAACAAAAAATTAATTCCTTTCCTGTACAATACAGCATCAGAAAGGAAAAATTTAGGTGTGGAACCTAGTGGAGCATCACTCTGTTAGGGACTGCATCCATATCATACAGGGAATACTCTTTGCCCAATAAACATGGTAGAACAAAGGTACAACCAAAATAACTACCTGCATGATGCTAAAGTGTCACATAGGTGGGTAAAATGTAAAGACTACTCAACCAGCCTGTATATCTCAGAGATTTAGCAGAGCATGTATGTGTGGTGTGGTTGGGACAACAAGTTGTACAGTAGTGGAGAAACACTTTATGTGAAATCCATAATAACCAAAATAAGCAAGTGCAGGAAAGAATCACCCCATACCTGAAAAACTTGACCAGATGATTTATTGATCCCAACCACTCAAAGTGGATGAAGATAAGTATGAGAGGGAGAGGATTCATATGTCAAGAAAATAATATGTCAATTGTCATGAAAAAGAATGGTACAAGGAAGGTAACAATAAACTGCCCGACCAGGACAAATAAGGAGATGAATAAAGGTTAGACTGATTGTAAAGAAATTACCCTCCCAGTCAGCACAGGTCTTGGGGAAGAAAGAGCAGTCTGGGAATAAATTAAACTGTCTCTTGGGTAAAGAGTGCAAGTGATGTCTAAGGCAAAATGTTAGAGTAAGGTATCCAAGCAAGAAGGAGAAAAATATATCTTTAGAAAAAACAGTGTATGGAACAGATAGCCAAAAGTTCAAATGGGATGGGAGAAGATATATGGGAGACCAGAGAGCTAAACAGAGATTCCAGTCCAGAAGAAGATCCAGAGAAGTCCTGGAAGATGTCTTTAAGAACAAGAGAAAGAAAATGGCCAGGGAAGAGATGGAAGGTCATCGAAAAACACACAGAAAGAGATTGGATCAATACCAACCCATAGGATCCACAGCCAGAGCTGCACATTCCTGGACTGTGACCAGAAAAGTTGAAACATAGTAGTGAGAGGAGATGCAAAGGTGAAAACCTGATCCATCATCAAATTCCAACTTCTTGGAACATAACAGGCTGGCAATTAAATATGTGGTAGTCATGGGTCCAAAAGAGAAAGTGCCTCCCTGTCAGTGTGAGTGAAGTTATTGGAATGAATCATAACAAGACTACCAGACAGACAAAGATGCAAGCACACTGAGCAGGCAATATCTCAAGAACAGAGAGACCAATCCTCTAGAGACCAGACTTAGAAACTAGGATGCAGATATCCAGAAGTGTATTCCATTTGGACAGAAAGGCATATGTGAACAGATGCAAGTCCAGGTAAGGTGAGAGAAGAAAGATGCCCAGAGTCATATAGGACTGATTGAACCACAACAATAGCAAGATGTAAAGAGATGGAGAGAGAAGGATACACAAGAGAAAACAGTGAATCACTGGGCATATTTCAGTGATCAGTCAGAGTCCAGTGAAGAAAATGCATAAGGATGCATCCGAGAAGAATTCCATATTTAGAAGACATAAACCATGCAAACGTGTTGAAAACATTCCCTTTGAAAATATAATATCATAAAGAAATACAAGTTAGATTACCATACAAATGTTTGTTTAAGTGGAAAGCTACACAATGGGCCATCAGTGCTTCATCTGCTGTGGAGAAACAAACCCAAAACTTGAGCACTGTAAGTCCATAAACATACTGCTGACTCAACAGGGTACTTATTTAAGGGAATCAGATAGAGTGCAGGGGAAAAGGGACTTGAAAAGCCTGACCAACCAAATCAAAGAGATAGTTCCCAAACGAAAAAGTAGGTTGCAGCCAAGGATATATTTCGGGATGGGAATAGAAGGAACTAGACACCCATATAGTAATGGAAATGTAGGCCCAACTTATAAACTGACATTAACATTGATTAAAGAAAACATATGATAACAAAATTGTATTATAATCAGGTAATACAGAGTAAATATGAAATTCAACTTAAGTTCAGTGCATAATTTGATGGTGAAAAAGATTATTAAAATTGTATATATTCAAATAAAAAAACTTTGGCTACATCATATTGATTTTTGTATTAATTAACAAGTAAGGTATTCTTTTTATTAAAATCATCTACTTCTTTTTTATTTCTTACATTTGAATTTTCACTGCAAAAAAATCACTTTTCAAACACTTGCTGAAATACTTATAATGCTATGCATTTACCTAACTTTCCAAACAGAAACTCGGTCCACCCCCCAACGCTGCTCTGTTACATTGTCTGAATACAGTCGATGATAAACTGTGGTCCACTCCTCCCTAAAAGTATGGAATGAAATTTATAAGAAAAAAAAAATTGTATAACTAAAATGTAAATGAAATATATTCTCATATATTTATGGGCAGAGAACAATTTTCAATGTCAATCTTTATCAAAGTTTCCTATTTTTGTGAGATGATCTTGATACTATGACAGGTGTGTGTTTGTATATGAATAGCTTTTACATTTACAATCATTTACAGAAGGCTACATGCACCTGATATAAAGCAATCAGCATTCATTAAATCAGCCAGACATGAGAAGAAAAACAGAAAAGACTGCTAAGAAGTAAGATATTTACCATTTAAAAAAAAAAAAATGATTAACCTTCAGGATAATATATTTTTACTTACCTTATTTGCTGGTGTATAAGACGACCCTGAATTTTTAGAGTAAATAAAGTGTATTTTCTTGAGATTTGGTGTATAGGATGACCTCTATAGTCAAGTAAATCTAGGATGTTACTTTTAAGTTATTTTTAAACTGTGCTAACCTGCACTCTGGAATAATCAATACAACTACACGTGTGATTTTTTATGCTCTTGAAATGTTACAGACAGCTCAACGCAGCATAACTTAATTAACAAACACGTAATAAACAATTTACAAAGTTTTCATCATAGGTGAACTTTTTTTCCCATTACAAAAAAATACAAGACAGGATGGAAGATGTCCTAATAAGGTTGACGAAGGAGAGAAGGGGACAGAGGGAGGGGCAAAGGTGATGATGACATGGAGTGGTATAGATGAGGAAAATTACTTTAGAGAGAAGACATGTTGGTGGGAAGGCATAAATGTTCAGGCCCTCCTTTCCTGACTGAAAGCATCTAATCCTAAGGCCCGAGGATGAAAAACCAGAGCTCAAAAAGATGGCAGTTTGTTGTTCAAATGGATGGCCAACGCATCTATGCGCAGGGTTCCAGACAAGAGCATAACCACCAGAAAACTTGAGGATCTAGGGAATGATCTGTGAAAATGACCTTGGGCAGACGTGATAACCGATCCTCAACAAAACTCAAAGCACTGGAAATTGGCAAATCAAGAGCTGTATCCAATGCTTATGGGCCCAGAACAGGAGCTACAGAGTCCAAAACCAAAGGGACCTTGATTTGGTACCCCCCTATCTTGGTGATGTATTAGATTACTATGGAGTTATCAGAATGCACCATAAACAAATTCCCCTCAGAAGATGGAGGAAATGATAGCTTGATGAACAGTTAAGAGCTATAAAACATTGACAGAGAGCCCATGCTGGGTATTGAGATATGCATCCCAACCCACAAGAGAAACATCAGTAAAAAGAAGAGTGTCTGGATGAGGAGGTGGAAGAGGAACACCAGCCATAGTATTATCTCTGTCCAACTACCAAGCAAGGTCAGTCCAAAGGGAAGAAGGAAGGACAAATAGTTGATCCAAGGGATCCTAACTGAAGTCCCATCAATCATGGAATTCCCACTAAAGGGAACACATGCGAGCACAACTGAGGGGTAGAAGAGCTTTCAAGGAAGTATACATCCCCAAAAGAGATAGAACCTCTTGAGCAGGAAAGAAATGAAAGGATAGGGCCATAATGACCAACTGCTCCATATCCCAAATACATAGCAGAGAAGGCTGGGCCAACTGGTGGGAATTGAAGAAAACTCCCAAGTGAACTAGATATTGCATAGGGGAAAGGATGAAATTTGTCACTTTGATTAAACAACCCACTTGAGCTACCCCTCCATGAGTAAATGGGTGTGGTCAGAAGACACCAAACAAGAAGGAGCCAGAAGAAGCCAGTTGTCCATGTATTAATGAGACCAGAATCCCAACAAATGTAGATGTCAAGCAAAAAACTTGACTACCCAACAAAACACATAAGGAGCCGAGGCAAGCCCAGACAGCAGAGCCTGGAACTGGGAAACCCAACCTTTGTGGGCAAACAAAAGAAAACAGTGTGAGGATAAAGAAATAAAAACATGAAGGTTTGCATCAGTTACATTAAACTTGGTCATCCAAAGACCTGGTGTGAAAACCTAATGAAGGGAAAGAATCAACTCCATGGTGCAATGAGGAAGATACAGAAACTGATTTAAATGGAAGAGGTTGATGATGGGTCTCCAATTCCTATTTTCTTGGGAACAATGAAAAGCCATGAGTAAAAACCCAGCTGAACAGAAAACACCGGCTCAATAGCTTCCTTGAGAAGAAAGTTTCTCACTGCTTCGGACGGATGACTGCTTGAGACAGGAAGGAAAGAAACTAGAGACAAGGAAAGAGGAGGTGTCAACTAAGATTGAAGAGACAGACCCTCTGACAAAACCCCCAGAACCCAAAGATCAGAAGTGAAAGTCTCTCAAATGTTGACAAAGTGGTGGAGCCTGGCTCCCAAAGGACCTGATCTCACTGTGTAGTCACCTATACCACTGTCGACATTCTTGATGAGCACATAAAAATGAGGATAAGAAAGATAAGAGTCCAAGGCTGATGTAAAAAGAACCTCCAAGACAGAAAAGATAGGGGCCCCAGACAGTCAAATGTAGAAATTATTATTCAGCTAGTAAATGAGGGGCAATGAGTTTCTATGAATTAAAGACATAACCTGGGAAGAAGTTAAAGAGGACAGGTATATAAAAAGAGGGTAGAACACTCCAGACTCAGAGGAAATACCACCAGGAACAGAGAGTCTGGGACTGGTGACCAAAAAAATGTGAGCTTGATGTAGAGGAGAGTCCCAAACACAAGTGAGAATAAGTCCAAAGAAACACCATGAGGTGTGAAGACCACTCTGTCAAAAAGATTCAGTCTGGACAAGATGTCTGATATGCCACTACATTCAGAGCTCTCAGAACATGGAAGGCCAAGGATCAGATGTTGTTGTCATGAACTTAAAAGTGGAACCTGAAATTAAGGAAGCAGAAGTCCAAAAGCAAGTACCTCCCTATCAGTTGATGTAAGAAATAACAATGGAGCTATTAAAATAGATAAAACTGGATGTTCAGATAGCTGCAACAAAAGATGGTGGCAGATCCATTGAAATTACCACATTTCAAGGACATGGATGTAAAAAAACCATTCTGCAGAAGACTAAGCCCCAAAAATGGTGAGGTATCCAGATTCTGAACGGTACAAGTCCAGACAGAATGGAGGAAATTGAAAGCTCATTTTCTTGTAAAAACAAAAGGTACAGAGATGAAAGTATAGAAACAAGAGAAGACAGTGGATTATAAAATAAGGCATACCAAAGAAGCAAGTCCCAGAAACATAGAAAGAATATAAACTGAGAAACATCTGAAGAAAAAAACAGGGCAATATGAAGAAATGGTTAGTGCAATCTTTCCCAGTAAAACTGTTGAGGTAAGCAAGAGACAAAAGAGATTCAAAGCAGGACAAGAAGAAAATCCCTGAGCTGAAAGAAGAGATTCAAGGGATAAAAGCAATATAAAAAGAAGAAAAATTCCAACCACAGGTCACAAAGAAGTCTTAAGTTTGGGGAAGATGTGGAAACTATGGTCAACACAAAGCAGAAACAGAAATAATCTACAATAATTCAACAATCAGAAGGAAAAGGAAGAGGGAATAAATTTATGAGCTGAGATGCATACAACAAGCTTGCCTGAAAACCAACTTAAACAACTGTGGTAAAAGAACAAATGTCATGTACCTAAGTTATCAGAGCAGCAACAGACAAAGGTGGGTGTTACCTGATCCTTGTCAGTCAAGTTGCACAAAGAGCTGATAAGAAATGTCCAAAGACAAAGCATGGCTCAGCAGGAGTTACAGAAGTAGAAGGCTGCAAGTCCTGGGTTTCAGATGAAGAATGCAAGTTAGAGCTAACCATGTGATGTACAATGATAACAACATTTCTCACCATCTCTGTAACTCCAGTTTCTATGTTATCATTTAAAGCAGGAATTACAACTCTTATGAAGGACACTCTGGACCTTAATAGTTTTCAGAAATAATGTTTAATAAGATCCACTAAAATTAATTCCAGCTTATTATTATTAACATTTCTTAATAGGTCTGGTATGTCTGTGATAGCTAGGTCTTGGTCATTTCTGTATTGATGAAAATCAGATTAATTATCAAAACCTGAACACTGGGTTAATGATGATAGGGAGTATTCCTGTCAAAGAAACCATAACAGAGACTGAAACACATCCTAAAATGCTGTAATTTGATTAAGAAAAGAAATCAAATTAACATGATAAAAGATTATAATTTGTATCAGAAGTTCTAACTAAAATCCATTTTAAAAATCTGTATATTTCTTTCTTGAAATCAAGAAAATGAAGGTAAGAAGATTACACTTTGAATGTTAATTAAAAGTTGAAACTAACAATCACAAAAATTATACAGTTCTTAATGAAAAAAGAATATGATTGAACACTGCAGTGCCATGGAAATGAATGTGCTTTTGGTATACACAAAGTACTCAAGGTGAGTTCTGTGTATTAAAAATTTGTCATCCTCCTATTAATGGAGGGGTATAGTCTAATGCTACTTGCATAATAAATTGGCACAGTTATTATATGTAGGGGTGAAAGTTTTATTTAAGGGTTGGCACATGAACAAAATTTTTTCTGCGTGTGGTACGAGATATTAACTATCTATTATGTGGAGAGGTGACTAGCATTTCTGAAAATGGTAGTCAAGAAGATGAATCTATATAGATTAAAATAAAGGGTGTCAAGTGTAGAAAGTTTTTAAATGGCAATTGTTACAGGTCACCTGCTCAGACAAATTATGTCAATGCGAAATTGCAAAATGGGATAAGGGTTGTTATTAATACAAATGCTGATGTAACAATTATGAGAGAATTTACATCTAGACTAATTGAATGGAACTGTGTGGAGTCAAGTAGTGAGGGAGAGAGGTTTCTTGAATTAATTCATGATAGTTTTCTATACCAAAGGTCAGAGAACTAACTAGAAGGAATGCAATTTTAAATTAATTGTTAACCACTAAAAAGGATGTAGTTGCAACAGTTGAAGCTGGGGAACATTTAGGGAAAAGTAATCACTGCATGCTTATGTTTGATAATTGGTTACATATTGAGATAAAAGGAAGCAAGATTTTAGTTTCTAATTTTCAGAAAGCTATTTTTGAGGTTATGAGACAAGATTTATCAATAGTGAACTGAAATAATGAGTTAAAAGGTGACATGGGACAGATGTGTGAAATGTATAAAAAGTAAATTACTTTTAATTCAAGATAGCCTTGTTCCTAAAAAAAAAAAGAGGAAGATAAGGAAGATAAACCTAATTGGCTTACAAAAGACACAGTCATGATAGTGGAGAAAAAAGTGGATACTTTCTATAAGATTAAAATTTTTAACTTACATGTAAAATGGAAGAATTATAAAACTATAGAAAAGCTATAAAAAAAATAAAAAATCCAAATGACTTACAAGAACCAGTTGACTAATAATATTAAAACTAACAGCAAGGATTTTGTCAAATATATTTAAGATATACAGTGTTAAAATGGAAATTGGGGCCTTAGAGATTGCAAAGTGTCTGTTAAATTCTATGAAATGACTGAGATTTTAAAAATTTTCTTCTCTTTTCTGTTAACAAGAAATTAAGTTCACAATATTCCTGATGTTGATCATTCTATGAGAAATAGTGGAATTGACTTAGGTTTGCCACATTCTGCTAATAAAAAAATAGGACACATATCCTACTCGGTAATCTAGAAGACCACAGTTAGTTCATCCAGCAAGATCTGTGGCAAAAATTTAGCTGAAAACACATTTTATTCATTTTAAGCACAAAATTGTATAGAAAGCTGTAAGGGGGTAGTAATATTATGAAAAATTTTAAATTTGAAAAATAAAATAATTTTTCCTTTATAATTTTCATTGCCAGCTTAGATTCTGAAAGAAATGCAGAAACCAAGACTGTCACAGGACTTACGACAATCTTAGATTGACCCGAATCATGTACATCATGTACTTCGTTTGAAGTGTATGGTCACATGTGCACACACCTGTAAATCTAATTACATGTTATTGGTCACACACGAGAAAAGCATGACACATTACAATTTTAAATACTCCTGAGAAAAGCCAAAACATGTTATCTACAAAAATGCTTGGAGCAGCATAGTAACAGATCTTCAATTAGTTGTAATTGTTTAAAAAAGGAAACAAACAAGACAGCGGCCAAAGGCAATAAAATTGAAATGAGAATATTTAAAGATTACAGGAAATTGAAGATTATTTGACACAAAACCACAGAAGAAGGGAAAAAGATGAGACTTTGATAGTTTGAATAACTGAAAACAGTAATAATCAGATACACTATCTTTGATTAGTCAATTATTTTTGTGAGTCATTACACTATTGATTAAGTTGAATGAATTTGAATTAATTGAAGATAATAAAAAGAAATCATAATGGCAATATTTCAAATACTTGAAAAGCTACACTAATCAAACAGAGTAATAACTGGAAATATTAATATTTATCAGAGTATTTTTGTGATAGTAATTTTGATTAATTGATTATTTTCTGAGAAACTACTCGATGTAATCACTACCTATAGGTAACTGATTAATCAAGTTAAGCACCCAGCTCCAGTCAAAGTATAAATTATTAACACAAGCCTACACTCTGGTAACTTTCAATTTCATATAGTGAATGGCTTTTAACCTATTTTATTCATTTTCCATTATTACTTCAATTAGAATATATATATAAATAGAGAGTGAGAGAGAAGTATTATGTCTTAATTTTCATTCATTATTGCCTATATATAAAAAAAAAGTTAATTTTCTTTTAGTTATTTATTTAAAATGAATAAAAATGTTAATAAAAATAAACAAATGAAAATAAATTATTTTCTTTGCTGTCAATATATAGAGTCTTCTGCCAAATGTTATAAAATAGGTCCTTTTCCAACAGATTTACAGAAATGTTGAACAAGTAAACAGTGCATGACTAGAATTAAATTTTGTTAGGTTTTTAATAGTTAGAAATGCATACTATTGCTTATTGTGGGCTATATTTTATTGGCCTGTCTATATCTATGACACACTCTTGTAACTTGTTTTTCTTTTCTGAAAATGATTTCTTGATAATGATTTTGGTTAAGGTATACAAATATATTTCATTTTTCTGGATTCAAAGATTTTACTTCAATATATACATTTTTTATGGTTATTTAAAAACACTTTTTGGATTACATAGCACTCCTTGAATCTAATAAAAAAAATTAATGCTCAATGTATCTTAAATTTACATTAATAATCTACTGTAGAGTAAAAGTAATGATGAAGATCAAGTCATGAAACCTTTGGATTAAAATTCATTCTTTACTCGCGTTCGTGAGAATAGAAAATTCATCATTTCTCATTTTCTCATCTTCCAAAGTTAATTTGTAAATTATTATATATTTCTTCTAAAAATGCAATTTCAATTAATGAGTCTTGATTAGTTCATTGCCAGTACTCAGATGTTTGTAACCTTATGGTAGTGTTATTAATATTACAACAGTAAATCCCATCTTATATGCCTGATTCATTTTGTATTTTAGAAGTGTACATTAAAATATTTATTTAAAAACTGATTTTATAATGTGAAGTATCCAATTAAAAAGGTTTACAAGTAAGATTAGGTTACAAACCTAACAGTAACAGGAAAAAAAAAAGAGGTATTGAATTTTGTCTCCCAAGAACAAAGATTGTAGCACTCATTTTTGTGTCAATACTTTTTCCTAGCTCTGCTTTCAAATGCCCATTTAATCATAATTTATACTGATTATCTACATTGAAACCCAACACAAGTTTTATTTTAATTTTATGCTATCCTTGAGTCTAAGTATTTAACAACGATTTTGCATTTGTTACAATAAAATATAATACTCATTGTTCCACAGTATTAATTTATTTGTGAGAAAACAAAATTAATAACTAATTAATTTGAATTGCAAGAAAAGTTTATTTAATAAACTTGATGTTTTACTTTTAACAGTTTACTGTTTAGGTAAAATAGAAGTCGTACTATGCCGCATACGTATTACTATTACATACGACTCTACGAGTCATGACTGAACTCATTGAATTAGTAGTAACAGCAAAATCTAACGTTACTGTGAATAATGAGACCAATATTATTCATTTACATATAAAAGTACAAGTGGTATAAAAACTATAATATTAATAGTTAGTAAGATATTAAAACCTGTACAACACGAACTGCAATAACTTAAACATTTATCTAAAAATAATAAAGCAGACGCTTGCAAATTGTACTCTACTGTCCAACTTTCAGTTTCAATACAATTATTAATATTAAATTCAAGTTAAAAGTCCGAATGTCGATGTTATTGAATGTTGCACACTGCTTGAAAACAAAAAGACTATATAACTTACTTATTTTTCCATGGAACTACGCGAATAAGCTTATTTTTACTTTTAGAAACTGTTTTAGTTTCCCTCATGACTACACGATATTAAACAATTGTCACATGTAACGTTCGACACAAAGCTGAAACTATCGTCTTCGTCAGAAGCCACCATAAATTCAGTGTTTCCGCTGAAGGTTTTTGAAATTTTAACGCTAGGAATATGTGTTTGTATACACGAAAATAAACAAGTAATTGTGAAATAAGTATTGAAGTCACTATAAGCTCATTCAAAATGTATATTAATACAAATTTTAAGCATTTTCTCTGTTTCACAATTAGTAATACCAATTTGGTTAATGTGAAAAAGATGAAATACAATATGATAGGAAAAAAGCACACAGATAACGAATTAAATCGTAAATGCTATAACCCTCCAGTGGCGCAGCAGTAACTTGAATAAGCCTGAAGGCTTTCATAATTATAACACTGAAAACCGGGTATCGATACCCGTGGGGGCACAATACATATAACCCATTGTGTAAATTTGTTCATACTACGATCAGCTCTTTTTATCTCTAGTATAATCATGTACGAAAACCACTTAGTTTTACTACGCATGAAAATCTCCCAGTGGTTCAGCGGCAAGTCTGAAGGCTTTTAATGCTAAAATAGGGTTTCCATATACGCGATGGACAGAGCGCAGATAGCTAACTGTGTAGCTTTGCATTTAATAATGGAACAAAAAAAAAGCATCAGCAAGGTTGCAATCAAGAAAAAATAAAACAAAATACTCTCTATAGTATAAAAAAGCCACACTGTCAAAATGCTATTTAAATCATAAATTTTTAGTACTAATTGCATCAGTGCCTGAATGTGAGCAAAACCTGGAGTTAAATTTTGCACTAAAATAAAGTTTTCATCAAAACATATTTATTCTTGAAAAAAAAAACAGCACATTCTCTATAAGAGGATGAGCCGGTACTTTTTCCTTTTCAAACCATAACGACACTGGGCGGTTACTTTTAATACTGACACTGCTAATTTGTATCGTTTATCTGTTGTTATGTTTGTGTGTTTCATTTCATAATTTTGAACAAATAAATGAGAAAACATCGCTCTTGTTAGCTTTAATAAAGTGGGAAATTACATTGTACCAGTAGGGAACATAAAGAGAGAATATAACGCCAATATCCAATAGAAGTAACCGCATCAATATTCGTGTTGTCAGGAAGCACAACCTCACTTTGAGCTCTCAACTTTCCATCAGTCTCACCAATTGACCAATTTAGAAGAGCAAGCACTTTTAAATGTCAAATAAGCTTTTTTGTTTTATATTTGAGTCATTTATAAGATCGACAATCTTGGCATACTCGAAGATTGGATCTTCAAGCTGGAATTTCACTCACATGGCCATTTTTATATAATTCTCTGACTGATAAATAGATATCGATAAACGTCTATTGCATGGCACATATTTTAATTATTTGTTTTCAGCTCTGTCTTAGCTTAGTTTTCTGTCTTAGTTTTCTTAGCTCTGCTAAGATACCTTGATAAACTTTTTTCACAGGCAAATTCTCACTCCTTCTTTCCTTTTGTCAATAGACATAATTTCATTAACCGATCTAACATACCTTATATTCATGAAAATGATAGCAAATGTTTTGACTACTATCTCTATTTCTACAAACGGCCTATATAAAAGTGGAGTATCACTTTCATGAAAGATTCTGCAATTGGGAAAAAAATCGGTCCAGAAGCATCGCTGGGCACTGCCACGAGAATCTGTACCAGGATTATACTTGACAGTGCCTCGAATTACCAGTTGATGTCTTGAAAAATCAGAATAGAAACTATGATCGATATCATAATGAAACGCCAAAAATTCCCACGCCTATGGGCCATAGCTCCGAATCTTTTTAGTACATAGCGAAGCCTCTGAAAAGGTCTATTGGTATGCGTAAGATCAGTAGTGTGCGGGGGGGGGGAGCGAAAGGTCTGGGGCCCCGGGCATCCAATACAAAGAATCGAATCGAATAGTAGAACCCTTTCCGCCCTTCCCCAAGGTCTTAGGTACAAGGCTCTAGGCATCATAGAACCTCTGCACGCCACTGCGTAAGATCCTCTACAGTTTATCCATGCATTGCTTCACCGAGAACTATTTGTTCTGACCCAAGCCAGAATGTTATCCTTTTTTACTTTCTGAAAAGGAGTGGAATTCCTTTTAAACCTCTTGTCGATTAGTATGAAAACAAAAACGATTATTTGCTCTTCTTAAAAATTCTTGAAACTACTCGAGGGCTTTTTTAGCCATTTGAAGCAGCTGGATTCGTCATTTGAAATCTAAATTTGACAATAAAAACCAAGGAAAATTTTTATTAGCAATGAAACTGAATAATTGTGACATATGAATATACTGTTACGACAGCGGAAGTAACGTGACACTGCTGGCACATTGCCGCTATTGGCGTGTGCGAAGAGTTTCTCGAATAATCGTGAATTTCCTAGTTTGTTCGGAACGCCTCTTTTGTAGTATATAAGCCCGGCAAATAAAAGAAGAGATAGAATTGCAGAGATAGGCAGATAGACTGAAGATAGAGATAATTGAGTCAAGTGAACAGTATGCACCGTAAGTAAAGTGTGTGAATCACTGTGATTTATAGAGTGTGTTATAACGGTTGTTAAGTTTAAAGTGACTGTTGAAATTAAGTGTATTAAAAAGTTTGTAACGAGAAAGAATAGATTACTTTTAATCAAGAATGGACTTGTATCGTTGAAGACACTTGAAAAATATTTTTACGGGAAATTTAACAAACGAACAGAAACGTAACAAATTGATGTCAGGAGTGGGATTATGTGTAGATATTCATGGATTAAACACAAACTTTGTAATTTTAAACAGCCGACATATGCATATTACAACACAATATAGCTATTCTAATTGCATGTCAAAGGCTATATTAGCTAGTAAAGCAGCAGGGCTATGTAGTACTGTACCATGGTCGTCGTGTGCCAATCCTTTTCTTTTGCTGCCCAAAAATATTTGTATGTCCGTGCTTAATTCTGTTCAGTAAGAAGTGTCGGAAGTCTGGCTTATGCACTGTATACTGTGTAGTCCCGCGAGCCAGACTCTTACTCGTATAGTGGGTAATTTTCGAATTCAGCTCCTTCCTCGTAATAAATTAAAACCTACAAAAATACTTAAATCTCAAACCCAAAATCACTTTATAGTTCTATTTCCTTGACACGACGAAGCTTACTTGTGCTCAAAACCACGTGCAGCTGTTAGATATACATGACTTCTGCATAGACTTCCGGAAGCTGAATTTGACTATAAACTTATGGGCAACCAGGAGGCTATCATGGCAAAACTAGACGGGGGCAGATTCTTTTCAAAGATCGATCAAAAGGCTATTGGCAGATCCAGATCTGAAGAGCGTTTCACAGTTTAACAGAGTTAAGGAGAATAGTTTGTCTTGTCAAAGGGTGTTCTAAGTAATTGAACCTGCCTGTGTGGACTTCGATGAAAAGGAGACAATTATCTATAGTTCTGGATACAACTTTGGTAACTCATGGCGTAATGTAAGTGAATTTATTGTAGCTTATGTAGTAACAAACAGATCCGAGAAAAGTAATTCATCTTGTCAGTTGGATTCTGAAGTAACTGAACCAGCCAATGTGGACTTTTGACAAAAAAAAATGAGAAATATTTAGAGTTTTGGATACAACTGTGATATCCTATAGTGTAAAGAATTTTTGTACATACGTTTGACTTGTTTTGAA